GCATGGCTGCTGCTGCGTCTACTGGTGTATATCAGTGACAGAGATGAGCGAGTTTGGTATTATTACGTGACCATAGAAAGAAGATTATAAGAGAAAGGAAGAAGAAGAACAGAATGGTTTTAAAGCAGGAAGGTCGTGTACAATAACGTGTTTCTGATATTAAAACAAAAGTTATGAAAAAAGACTCGGGCAAGAAACTTGGACAAACATATAACATTTGTTGACTTACGGAAAGCGTACGACACTGTCCAAATATCAAGACTATGGGGGGTACTAGAACAATCTACGATCAACCATACTTATATAACAGCTCTTAAGAAACTATATAAGGACGCAAAGTCAAAAATAAAGGTAGGAAAAGAGCTTACAGAAACATTTATAACCGACAAAAGCTTGCGTCAAGGTTGTTCCATCTCTCCCTACTCCCTACTCTCTTTAAAATGTACGTTGCAGTCGCTTTACAAAAATTGGAAAAGAAAGGTCCGTGTAAGGCAAAGAGATTGACAATGAATGTTTGTTCACACTTCAATTCGCAGACGATCAAATAATAGTTGCCAATGACAAAGACGATATGCAATATATGCTAAGAAAACTTATTGAAGAATACGGAGAATGGGACTTGACAGTTAACATAGCCAAAACAAAAAATATCTATGTATAAACGCACAAGAAGGAAACTTGAACTTGGACAACGGTCACGAAATTAAGCAGTGTCAAGGGTATGAGTACCTGGGAATTACATTTGATAACACTGAAACTGACGGCAGAGAAATAGAGAAAAGGGTTATCAACGCGAAAAAAATATTCGGATGTCTAAATGGAATCTTATGGAGCAAATCAATAACAAAGCAGAAGAAAAAATTCAATTATATGAAACCAGGATAAAGAGCAACCTCCTGTATGGAGCAGAAACATGGAGAATACTGAGAGATACAAGAAGAGGATAGAGGCTGTAGAAATGGATGTCATTCGAAGATCAATGGGAATTTCAAGACAACAACGAAATAAGAAATAATCACCATAAAACAACAGAAATGGGTATAGAAGGTAACGATAACACAGGATATAGAGAAAAAGCAGCTAATCTGGTACGGACATGTAGAGCGAATGAAGGACACTAGATGGCCCAAGAAAAATAATCAATTGGCAACCAAAAGGCAGAAGAAAACAGGGAAGAGCAAAACTGGAATGGCAAAAAAGCGTACATAAAGCGATGAGTGAAAGAAACCTGTCAACAGAGGATTGTACGAATATAACAGGCTGGAAATTGGGTATCGGACAACGTAGAAAAACGTACTAAACCGACTATATATAAATTCAACTATATATAAGAAACAATTAAAACATTAGAATTTCTAAAAAATCTAATCAATATTAATATATTAATAAATAAAATATATATATATATATATATATATAATATATATATATATATATATATGATATAAATATACATTTTTTCTATTGTAAAATTTTATTGATACGCCTTTTTGTGTTTTGCAATGTTATACATGTATGTTTTATTTGTAATTTTAATAACGTAAATTTTCTTTTGAATTGTATGATATTTGTATGTTTATAATTGTAATTATATGTATTGTATGATATTTTTTATTATTTGTATATTTTTTTGTGCTTTTGTTTGTTTTGTAAATGCTTTGCCGATGAAGCTATTTTGGCTTTTCTTGTAACAATAATAATACATAATATTTATTTTTTATAGCTTATTATTATATTATTGTTATTGCAAGAACCAATTACAAAACCAAAAAAGCGTTTCTGGGTGAAAGATTGGTTGTTACAACGTGATACATTATCTTATATGAAGTGCGAAAATTAAGAACTGATGCAACAGATGACCTTAAAAACTACCTCAGAATGAATGACACATATTTTAATAAACTTTTAAAGATGGTTAAGCCCTTAATATCCAAAAAAATTTTTTTTTATGAAAAATAAACATTAAACTACTAACCCACAAGAAGATTGGTCCTTGTCAGAATATCTATCATCTTCATCGTGTGAAGATCTTCCTTTAGTGAAGCTGTGAGTATCGCTAGTGATCGGGTTGCAACAGCTATTTCTTCTACTGGTATTCAAATTTTTTTTTGGGTAAGTTGATTCGTTGAATGTGCCTGTTGGTTTATTACAAACAATCAATCCTACATTAGTGCAAGATTCTTCCAATGTAACATTATTTATTGAGTTTTAATAAAAATAATACAATAAATAAATTAAAAAAAATCTTCTACAGGGTTGTTCACCACATACGACACGGAGTATTGTAGTTAAACGATCAGATTTTTACAAATTGTAAGTTTTGGGTTCGTTGAAGGACTATTAGAGCTAGAATTTAAAAATATTTTTACAAGATACAGAGTGTTCCAAGACAATAAAAATATCAAAGTTGTATTTTTTAAATGGAACACCCTGTATATTATACATTTTTAGTTTACACGATTAATAAAGGTAAATTTGATAAAAATAAAAAAAAAAAAAAAAAAAAATGTTTTTGAAAATATTTAGGTTTTTGTCAAAGTATACAGTATATAATTTTAAATACTTCATTTCTTTAAGCGTAATTTAAATTTTTAAAAACAAATAATTGTACTGAAGTAATTTTCTATTTAACTGAATTTTGTGTTTGCAATAAATAAAAATTACACTACCTTATACAGAGTGTCTAAATTTATTTTAAATGATTTTTTTTTTTTTTTTTTTTTTTTTTTTTTTTTTTTAATGGAAACACCCTGTAATATTTTCCCGAGAAATCAGATGCACAATTATAATTGTTAATAAATTGTATTATACCATTTTTACCTATCTCTTCAAGTTTCGTAGTAAAATGCATTTTTCTGTAATTTAGAACTCATTTTATCAATATACCCATGGAATACTGACATTTTAGATTATTTTTAAAAGATGTTACCAAAATTTTTTGAAGTGTACAGATACTAATATTGTCGATATAGTTTGTTTATTTCATTAAAAAATTAAATAAAAAAAAACTGTTTAAATATTTGTTAAAGAGAACAATTAATATGATTCAAGATTCAAGTATTCAAACTACATTAATTTAATGTTTGCGTTGGCTTAATAATAATTGCTCCAAATACTAAAAAACTGATGTTTTGTATGATGTATTAGACAGTTGGTGGACAATACAGTAACAACCATAAAAAAATGATATTTCCATTTTTTGACAAATGCTTATTTATAACAAACAGAGACATTCATCAGATTTATTTAGAATAATTTATTAACGAACACAATTAAAGTATGTTTAATTATTATATTTGGGCGGAAATATAGGTGGGTTATACTTAATTAATGGTATAACTCTTTAAATAGTTTTCTTTTTTACATACAATTGCGCTTAGTAATATATCGTTTTTAGCAAAACAAGACTTGTACATTTTGGTACATTAAAAACCAATCTAAAATGTCAATATTCCATGGTATATTGATAAATGAGGTCTAAATTATAAGAAAATGCATTTTCTACGAAAACTTGAAGGGATAGGTAAAAATGGTATAATACAATTTGATAGACAATTAAATTATGCATCTGATTCTCTTAAAATATACAGGGCGTTCCATTTAAAAAATAGAACTTTGATATTTTTTATTTATTTGGGACACTCTGTATCGTATAAAAATATTTTTAAATTGTAGCTCTAATAGTCCTTCAACGAACCCAAAACTTATAATTTGTAAAAATCTAATCGTTTAGCTACAATGCTCCGTGTCGTATGTGGTGAACAACCCTGTATAAACATGAAAATGCGTTGTTTTAGGGGTACAGGTTGTTAAACTTAAAAAAAGTTTATTGGAACTTTTTTTCAATATTTTTGTACACCCTGTATTACCTGGATCGTCTGGCACGGAAAATGTGGTGTTGTGGAACATATGACTGGAATGTGCAGCCACGCCTGTTGTTTCCAAGATAAACATTCTGCGAGCTTGTTGAAACTCTTCCAATTTCTTCTGGATCAGTTGTTTTTCCAGAGCTTCCGTTTCGTCCAGATTATCCAGGCCCGGTACTGGCCTCGTTGAAGAATGCCTTAAAACAACAAACAACACATTTACTCAGTGTTTCCAGCTTTTGAAACAATTTTGAAAGTCAGATCTAGTCTTATATTTTCAAAAAAAAACACAATTTTCTCATCAAATATCGATTTTCGGTATAAAGAGTGTTTAATAAAACCAAAAGATTAAACAAAACCTTGTTTGATTATGATACAAAATACAGGGTGTCCCGTTTAAAATGATGGAGAAAAATACAATATTCAGTTTTGACTCCCCCTGTATACCTATATAAAACAAGATTCCAAATTTTGGTAGACCGAATTTTGAAGAAGAGAGCTTTGTAGAGCGGCCGCTAGAGGGCGCAACTGCTATTAAAAATAAGAAAAAGGAGTTTTTACCCAATTTTGCCTAGATAACGGAATTACTAATACAATAATAAGATTCAATAATCTTCAAGTATTTTTGCATGATTTTTTTTTAAATATATTGTTTTGTTTTCCCATTCTGCTAAAATCAATAGTGGGAAGGTTAAGATCTGTTTTTTTATTGAAAGGTTAATAACTCCGGACTGGTTGATCGGAATTTAACAAGCGAGGGCTCGTTAAAAGAGCGTTTCTTACTCTATTTTATACCATATAAACAATAAAAATAAGCTTTTGACCGTAGACGCTAGGGGGCGCTGTCTTACAATTTAACAAACATTACGCGTTTCTTCGAAAAAGTTAAATACGATAGTATATCTAATTTTAGCTGATACTAAAGAGTAAGAAAAGTTTAAAGATTCAGCGAAAACCGCACCTTGATATCTTTTTTCAAACCAAAGTTATTAGCAAAATTATAATAAATAAGAAAAAATAGGCCCTTAATTACCTTATCTTTCTAACACGGTATCCCGAACCCTCTTTATTATGACTATTCTAATAAAAACTAAGATAGAAAAGATTATTTCATTCAAAAAATTGACAATGTACCGGAATACCATAATACTAGGTGTCTTAATATCTAATAATTAAGAATATCAAATGAAGTGACTAAGAAACGACGCGACGCCTCAGTGAATTCATGGTAGGCTTTGGAAAAAAGTTGCTTTTAAAGAGATAGTTTAAACTCAAAATATTATTATATCAACAATTTGGTAGTCTCAACAGTGTTTTTTAACTTTTGATTGCTTTTCTAAAAATGCCTTTCTTCAAAAGAAAAAAAAAACACTGCCAAGACTATCAAAATATTGATTTAATAACTCTTTGGCGTTTATACTATTACGTCAAGAGCATCTTTTTTTCCAAAGACTACCATGACTTCACTGAGGCGCCGTTTCTTATTCACTGTCATTGATATCTTAATTTATCTAATAATTAATAATAAATTAATACATCTGGTATTATCGTATTCTGGTATATTGTCGATTTTGGAATAAAGCAATCGTTTCTATCTTATTTTTTATTAGAATGGTCATAATCAAGAGGGCTACTGTAACCGTGTTAAAAAAAATAAGGTAATTAAGGGCCTATTTTCTCGTATTTATTATAATTTTACTAATATCTTCGGTTTGAAAGAGGATATCAAGATGCGGTTTTCGATGAATTTTTAAGCTTTTATTACTCTTTACTATCAGCTAAAATTATATATACTATCGCATTTATTTTTTTTGGAAAAACGCGCAATGTTTGTTAAATTGTAAGGCAGCGCCCCTTAGCGTCTACATTCAAAAGCTTATTATTATTGTTTATACGCTATAGTATAGAGTAAGAAACGCTCTTTTAAACGAGGCCCCGTTTGTTAGATTCCGTTCATCCAGTCCGGAGTTATTAATGTTTAAATAGAAACTGATCTAACCTTCCCCCACCACTTTATTTTGGCAGATAGGGAAAAATGGTTCTAACAAAAAATATGCAAAATTTACTGAAGATTATGAATCTCTTATTTATATGTGTCACTTGTATGGGAAAACAGGCAACAGTCAAATTTAAACGTGCCAGGACTAACGACAAAGAAAGCAACATCTGCCAGGCATTGGCTTTCTGTGTCACTCACATTGCTTAAATCATGATACCGCGGCCATTTTGCCAACAAAGAAGCTGGCCGGGCTGTCCTGGCAAGTGATTTAAAACAATTTTGCTTTTTTACAATATTAAATTACCATTTGGATGTATTTAATGCGATTATTCAGTTAACTGGTAAGTCGGAAATTACACACAAATACTTTATTCGTAAATACAACTAAGATGTAAACGTATTTTTGTATTTTTAGATTTCAACTTTTGCGAAGACCGCCGATAGAACTTGCCTGGCAGCGTACCTGTTTAATTAAACGTATTATTTCCTGATAATAATATCAAAACACGTAAGTACCTCTATAATTTATGATGAAAAATGATTTTGATTATGTTTTATATTATTTAAATACTTTATAACCTCAAATAATAGTAAGATCCTTGTTTATATCGCACAGCCCGTTCAAAACTGTATTGTCTTCAAAAAATGTTTACAGAACAAACAATTATTACAAAAACAATGTCCTTTTAATCTGATTTATACCTCAGAAGGATGCCAGTTAAATTTTTATTAAATCAACATTACATTATTTGGCCATTAATATGCAAAAAGGAGCATATTGCGTTAACTTAAATTTTCTTTTACTTCTCCTGACAATGTTCTCTATATTCTCTATTTTGAGTTAGTAAACTTTTGAACGGGATGTGCGATATATAAAATACATAATATATCCAAGGGCATGATCTGATAAAAGTATTTTTTGATGCATTTTTTGGTTGTTTATGCACATTGGCTTGGTTTATGTTTTATTCAGCTTATATTTATTTGGTATAACAGTTTTTTTTGCCTTTGGAATGGCATGCATTGAGGCTAGATAGTGTTTCATTAGACCATTAAAGAAATTTAAATTAGCATATATTTTTTGTGATGTTAGTGTGTTATCATGATACAGGTAGTTGTATCATAGTGCCTTATGCATGTTATTTACCTATTATATACTTATGTATTATCAGTAAATAGATGATAATATACTACTAAAATGTCTTTTTAATAGTATGTTTATCTGTCCAATTCACTAGTTATTTGCAAAATGTATTTTGAACTAATTTAAGTCATTAATTGATCATCTTTCTTTTTCAGGTTCCGGGATATTCTTTTTCATTGTTAAAAAATATATATATTTCAATATTATTGTAATATAAATCGCAGCTCTAAAAAATAAATGATATTGTTTACTAATGTGTAATTTATTTACTATGAATTTTCTCTGAAAATAATGTCTTTAATAATATCATTGATTTGCTGTGTAAAGTTAATAGACATATTTTTTAATACATTCAATTATATTAAAGTAATAAAAAATATGTTTATTAACTTTAAACAGTAAGTCACTGATACTTATAAAAATATTTTTTAAAAAATTTCCCCTCTTTTAAGCCCCGCCCCTCCAATTCCCCTCAATTTAGCTAGTACTGCCAGGCGACACCAGGTGGCGTCTGTTTCCATTTTTTAACATGAAGTTAGCATTTCTTTAACGTACCTATTCTCTGGTATCCGTTATCTAGACAAAATTGTGTAAAAAGTCCTTTTTCTTATTTTTAATAGCAGTTTAGCGCCCTCTAGCAGCCGCTATACAAACTTGAAGATAATTTCCAGCAATTTCTCATACTCTCTTTAGTTATAAATATTTTTTTCCGTAGGCTCTGTGGCTAATACTTTCCGAGATACAGCCGAGAGATATTCTTAGTGGGACACCCGGCACAATTTATATTATTAAGAAAGTTTTATTTTAAAAATTTGTATCTTTTGAAAAAGGTAATAGATTTAATTGAGAGGTGAGAGAATGAATAAATATCAGCAAAATTTTAACAGAGTTCTGGTACAAATGTAAGAACTTGGCAACGCTGTTTCCGATACGTATGAAAGGAAAGGATATGGAACGGAAGGGAGACGGAACGGATAGTGTGCATTGTCCTATTCATTTACATGATATAATATTTTATGTAAACGGAAGGGAGCTGAGATGGAAGGTATAGTGAGAAGCAACCTTAAATGTCTCTGTATTCAAATTATAGATTAAGTAACTTACATTGTTGAGGAGGAAAATGGAGGTAAAAATTCTTCGCTTTCTTGTTGAGGCGCCACTCTTCTAGGTTTATATTTAACCGCCGGCTGTACTGGTGGATCTTCTTCGTCGTACTCCACCATTTTAAGGTCCGATGGTTTCACACGGCTTTTCCCACTTTGAGGTCTTCTAGCGATCACCATGGGCTGGTCCTTCAACTCCACCGGTATCTCTATAAGCACGTCCTCGTTGGACTGAATCGTACCCTTGGGTACCAGGATTTTTTGGGTTTTTTTCGTAGACATGGCATATTAGGAATTTTTTAAGGGGTGTTTTTTGTAAATTTGACGTGGAATTTTAACGTGACATTATGCGAAAGTTGAATGAGGTTGAAGGGTGTGACTTTGATCGCGGCTGGTACTATTAATAATAACCAGTTTTCAGGATATTTCGATAAACATACTGAGTGATAAAAAAAGAAGAACACCTATACAGGGTGAGTCTTCAATAAGTGCAAATATTTTCAGGGCTGGTAGATTTCGCTTTTCCGCACATTCTACAGGGTGGTTAGGTTATAAAAATAAGTAAAAAAGTTCGTATAAATGTACGTCCTAAAATGCTTAGTTTCGGAGATACAGGGTGTAGAACATTCATTTTTATTTCGATTTTTTCCAAATAATTCCTGAAGCCACATCGATATTTAGATAAAAATTCGTTTCTGGGGGTTTTTTGACATGAGAAATTTGATTTTGATGTCATTATGACTTCTACTTGTAGAGGGCGCTACCTACGCGCTATTTTTTAACTGGTTTGAAAAGTAATAACTTTTCGTCCGTACCTGTATAAAATTACTGAGTAAAAAAATATACATTTACAACGTTTTTTACGTAAAAAAGGTCTCTTGGTAAAAATCGAGTAATGGTTCTCGAAATATTTTGAATCAAAATTATCAATATAGTCTATAAAATGAATAACTTTGAATTTTGACCGTTATTTTTTACCGACATGGGAAATATAAAATCCTTTCTGTCCAAAAAGTTCCTGATATTCTTTAAAATGAATGCCGGAACGAATCAGATAGATAACTCTTTTTAGTTTCGTGAAATAGAAAAGGAAAATAATAAAACAAGTGACAGTTCTTCCTCTTCTTGCAAAAATCAACGCGAAATGTCATAATTGACATAAGTAAAATGTCATCAGCCTTTCACATTTCTAAATATCATACCAATGCCGTCTCTAATAGAACAGCCTCGGAGCGAGATTTATGACGTCACGCTAGTTAGATACTACGGATTAATAAATATGTAGTAGAATACATGGAAAACATAATTATTCCTCGTATTTTTGGTTTGTATTTTAAAAATTGATATAGTTTACATGAAATATACATAATATACAGTTAATAAATAGAATATATATACCTATTTATAGTAATAAATACTATGACAAATAAACTATAAACCATAAAAATGCAGCAAATGTTTTACAATATAAAAATAGTGAATAGGTACATAAGATAATGGGCATAATGGGTCAAATATAAAATATATTTTAAATTTTGGGGTTTGAAAATCGATCTAATTTAACAAAAAACATTCGATATCTACTAATAGTGATGTATTATTATTTGCATTCACAAAATTTATATGTATATTTTGTAAGCATCAATGTTCGAAAAATTATATTTGCAAATAATACAATATCATTGAAAAAAAGGCGTCAGCGATGGCTATGAAATAAAGATCGCTGTCATTTTATATGTAAAATTATTCTAAAATTTTTGATTTTCTTGGGATTTAGGTTCGGGAAAAACGCTGATTAAGTTTTCATTTGGGGTTTCATTATTTCTTTTGGTTTAAAAAAACGTTATAGCTAACGTTTATAGCCTTCATCAGTGTTGTGTCATATGAAAAAAATAGTGTCGAATATAATTCAAAAAATTACATATACGAGGAATAATTATGTTTTCCATGTATTCTACAACATAATTAATCCATAGTATCTAAAAATATATATCCATAAAGCTCGCTCCGAGGCTGTTTTATTAGAGACGGCATTGCATCAGCATGGCCGCAAGTTGCTAACCTAATAAAATTTACACTAGAAACGCCCGCGGGAACTATCAAATTCAAAGTTATTCGTTTCACAGACTATACCTGTCATCATTGAGATAAATTAAACATGACTGAAATCATAAATTTGAAATGTTTTAATACAGCTCGGACCACCCTGTATATTCTACCTATAACGTACGCAATCTGACAAAACCCACAAAAATGTAACTGTCACAAAATTTCGTGTAGTTTTTTCGTCAATTTTTTTTTCAAAAAAATATCGCTAAATTATGAGTAGGAAACTAACAATACCGAGGGAATTGCTAGCAAATAACAATGAGACTATAACTATCCATATCCCGGAGGGGGTAAATCAAGGTACAGACAACCTGATTGTGAGGAGGCATGGAAATATGTTAATGGCCCATAGGGCAGAGGAAGGCGATATGGTACCCAGCACATCTGGAGCCACTACAAGCTTTCACGAACACTCAAGTGGGGAACGGACACTTCATGACACTTTGCAGAGTTCAAGATCAACCGGTAAATTCGTTTTTTATTAAGCAAAAGTGTTATAATTGAGAGAATATTCCCATTAGTGAATAGAGTAAATGCAAGACATTTTTAATAAATTCTTACTAGAGACCAGAGCTGCAATAAGTCAGTTTTAAGTAGACTTACGAGTCTATTAAGCTGTACTGTTCGGGTCGCTCTCAGGGGTCGGTTAAACGGGTGTGTGGCCGAAAGAAATATATATTATATTTCAGAAATCTGGCTAAGGCTTAGCCCGATCCTGTCAAGTTAAGCCACATCCAAAATTCCAAACACACGTGTTTTGATTAAGGCTTGATTAAGGTTTGCAGAGCTTCAGCATTTGCCACAAAATATTGAGCAATTTGTTACAAAACCATATAAATTATATATCGCTGTAATCACAAAACTTCAATCTATTTCCGTATTGTAACGGAATTTTAAATTATGTCTTTATTTTCGAGAAAATTTAGTCCAAACATAAGAAATATTTTGTTGATGATTGACCATTAAAATCTTAAAAATAAAGAAGTTGTTTAAAAATGTGCTACATAACGGATATAGTATAATCCTTTATCCTTAATTTCCTTCTTCATTTGTGTAAAAATACCAAGCCCGTTTTGCATAAAACGTTAAATGCCGAACGATTATTATGCTACTTTTTCAGACAACTGAAATGGGCTCTTAATATTTTAATGTTTTTGAAACAGAGTTGTTGTAGCTCTGGATGGTCAGTGCACTATGTTATAGTGACAGTGGATTTTCGGAAAAGGATGTCCTTAATTTTAACCTGACAACCCAAATATAATTTTTAATTATTGTATTATTTTTCTAGGCGTTGAAGCTTGCAAGTCAGCAACCTGTGGACGTAAGTTCAAAAATAACAAAGGAATGATAAGTATTGTGAACAGCATATCGATCAGTTTTTTCAGATTTTTGCTATTCAAAATTAGTTGCTACTTGCATACAGTTCATACCAAATTTAACTTTTAGTAACGTCATTAAGCTTGACCGGCACAGTGTTGCCCACTTTTACATATTTTTTTCTTTTCATCAAAATATTTTAGGAAACAAAAATAAATAAATTATAATATACAGGGTTGTTCACCACATACGACACGGAGTATTGTAGCTAAACAATTAGGTTTTTACAAATTGTAAGTTTTGGGTTTGTTGAAGGTCTATTAGTTATAGTCTGTGAAACGAATAACTTTGAATTTGACAGTTCCCGCGGGCTTTTCTAGTGTAAATTTTATTAGGTTAGCAACTTGCGGCCATGCTGATGCAATGCCGTCTCTAATAGAACAGCCTCTGAGCGAGATGTATCACGTCACCCTAGTTAGATACTACGGATTAATTATGTTGTAGAATACATGGGAAACATAATTATTATTCCTCGTATATGTAATTTTTTGGATTATATTCGACACTATTTTTTTCATATGACACAACACTGATGAAGGCTATAAACGTTTATTTTTTATCTATTTTATATATTTTAGGCTATAACGTTTTTTTAACCAAAAAAAATAATGAAAAACCAAATGAAAATTTAATCAGTGCTTTTCCCGAACCTAAATCCCAAGAAAATCAAAAATTTTAGAATAATTTTACATATAAAATGACAGCGATCTTTATTTCATAGCCATCGCTGACGCCTTTTTTTCTATGATATTGTATTATTTGCAAATATAATTTTTCGAACATTAATACTTGCAAAATATACATATAAATTTTGTGAATGCAAATAATAATACATCACAATTAGTAGATATTGAATGTTTTTTATTAAATTAGATCGATTTTCAAACCCCAAAATCTAAAATATATTTTACATTTTACCCATTATCTTATGTACCTATTCATTATTTGTAGGTATATTGTAAAATATTTGCTGCATTTGTATGGTTCATAGTTTATTTGCCAAAGTATTTATTACTATAAATAGGTATATATATTGTATTTATTAACTGTATATTATGTATATTTCATGTAAACTATATCAGTTTTAAAGTGCAAACGAAAAATACGAGGAATAATTATGTTTTCCATGTATTCTACAACATATTTATTAATCCGTGGTATCTAACTAGCGTGACGTCATAAATCTCGCCTCGAGGCTGTTCTATTAGAGACGGCATTGGTCTGATATTTAGAAATGTGAAAGGCTGATGACATTTTACTTTTGTCAATTATGACATTTCGCATAAGTTTCGCATTGATTTTTGCAAGAAGAGGAACAACTGTCACTTGTTTTGTTATTTTCCTTTTCTATTTCACGAAAGTAAAAAGAGTTACCTATCTGATTCGTTCCGGCACTCATTTTAAAGAATATCAGTAACTTTTTGGATAGAGGGATTTTATATTTACCATGTTGGGTAAAAAATAACGGTCAAAATTCAAAGTTATTCGTTTTATAGACTATAGTCAGCGCGTCGCCGAATATCTCCATGGTTGGCAACAATGAATTTAAAAATGGCGCTTTGATTGCGTAACTAAAAGTTTAATTGATCTCAAATCTATACTGCATTACTTTTTAACTGTAATATTTTCTTTTGCATGATTAGCTGGTTCGACATCACAACATACCCAATCAGAGGTACCCGCTGCAAGGCACCAGCCAACAGTTTCAGGTAATATTAACCAAAAATAGCCATAGATTTATTAGTATTAAACAGCACATGAATTAGATTTTTTTGCTCTACAAGGTCTACTGTTTCTATATAAATACAACAAAGTGTAAGTATTGTACAGGATGAGTCAATGATAAAGTTCATTATCTCATTTGTTGCGGGGTTTATAAAAAAATGTTAAATACAAAAGTTATAGGGAAGATTAAAGTACACATTTTAAAATTACTACAAAGTATACAGGGTGCTTCAAAAAAGTGTGGCGGATATAACATAATATGTTTTTTTTATTACATCCCATTTTTATCATACTTTTATATTCTGGGTAAAATTCTATTACTTTTTATATATAATATTATATCCCTAAAATTAACAGTTTTTGTAATATTTTAAATTGTTTCAACAAATGTTAGATTTCAGTGAGGTAAGAAATTGTCAGTGATGCCATTAATTTTAAGTATATAACATTATATATAAAAAAGTTATGGAATTTTACGCAAAACCTAAAAATAAAATAAAAAATAGGGTGTTGCATTTAAAAAAAACATATGTTATATCTGCCACACTTTTTTGAAGCACCCCGTATACTCCATAATCATTTTAAAATGTGTATCTTAACCTTCCCTATAACTTTTATATTTAACGTATTTTGTAAATCTCGAAACATATAAGATAATGGACTTTACTCTATCGTTGACTCACCCTATACAACATCTACAGTTTCAGTACTTTTACCGAGAATATCTTCTCTTCTATATTATTCTTTAGCTTCTCCACCAGGAAGGGAGGTCCAAGCGGATTCAAGGTACCTGCCATCACTTTCAGGTAATATAAACCAAAAATGACGAAATATTTTTTACAGCGAGTATTTTACAGTATATCAAAAGAGATTTTGTTCTACGAGCCCTAACAACTATATGTTGGGACAAGGTAATATTTTGGAATTATTGCCCTGGTTTTTCAAAATGACTGAAATATATATGTTTAATTTTTTAAATATAAACATAGCCATATATCCTAAACAACTTGACAATAGTTTTATGAATTTGTAAATCAATCCATATTTACAGTAGCGGATTTTGTTCATAAAAGGACAAATTTACTGACAACTAAATGTTGGGACAAGTATTTTTAAATAATTAATATCATCATAGACGGCTTTGCTATAAACGTCACAAATGTCGCAAACTGTTTACTTCGGCATTGACAGCTTGTAAGTGACTCGATACTTTGAGTAGTGAGATTTACTGTAAGTAATTTTAATTTTTTTCATTTTCAATTTTGTTAATTATTTAATTCAATGTAATGGTCCGTGGAAAAGCTACAAATCAAAAACTACGCGAAATTATCATTCGTCAATACAGTACGGGAAAAACAATTTCTGATGATTTAAGTATTCCAAAAACCACGGTCTTTAATATAATAAAAAAATACGGCGAATCTGCCAATGTAGACGTTAGAGGTAAAAGTTCGGGAACGCCAAAAGTTGTATCTCAAAGAGATTTACGAAATTTAGTAAAAATTTGCAAGTCTGCGAGAAGAAGTACTCTTCGCGAAGTAACAGTTAAATGGAATACTGTAACTGGTTCAAATATATCAAGAGAATGTTGCCGAAAATATATCCATAAATGCGGTCTGGGGTTTTACAAGGTAAACTTTATTTTGTGTGGATAATCGATTACCTGAAGATTACTGATACAAATTCTTATTTAGGCCAAAGAAAAACCGCTACTGACAGAAATTCAAAAGAAAAATCGCTACAATTGGGCAAAATCTAAATTATCGTGGACACAAAATGATTGGAATAAGATCATATTTAGCGATGAGTCTAAATTTGATGTTTGCGTTGGAGATCATCGAAAACGAATAATACGAAATAAAGCAGAAGCCATTCATAAAGATTGCTTAAAGAGGGTTGTTAAATTCCCTAAGGGGATTATGGTTTGGGGTTGCATGTCAGCAAGAGGTTTGGGCAAATTAAATTTTATAGATGGCACTGTTAACGCCCAAAGATATCAACATATACTTGAGACCTCACTTTTGCCTAGTGCTCAAGAATTGTTTCCAAACGAAGACTATATTTTCCAACAAGATGGAGCATCGTGCCATTCAGCAAAATCAACTAAAAATTGGTTCGGTAATAATAATATAAAAGTTCTATCCCATCCTGCAAGTAGTCCGGACCTCAATGTTATAGAAAATGTGTGGCATAAAATGAAGCAATATTTAAGAAACCACCCTCAACGAACAATTTTTGATTTGCGGGCAAAACTGCAGGAAATTTGGGAGAATTTTTCTCTTCAAATGTGCCAATCTTTGGTAAATACAATGCCATTAAGAGTTCAGGCATTGTTAAGACGAAAGGTGATGTAACTCCGTATTAAACAAATTTCTTGTTGTACTGTCCCAATATGTCAGCAAATTTGGCTTGATTTTGGCAAAATAAGCTTTTATCAAAAGTGATTTGTTTGCAAAGTTATAAAAATATAGTAAAATTGTCTAGATCATATTGTAATGTTTGAATTTAGAACAATAAACAAAATAAATTGAGTCGTTTTAACAAATTACTATTTTTTATTGCAAAAAAGACTTTGTCCCAACATATAGTTGTTAGGGCTCGTACAAAATCTACAGTTTTATTACATTCCAACTCTAATATCTTCTTCTGTATTATTCTTTAGCTGCTCCACCAGGAAGACTGCCCCAAGCAACAGTTTCAGGTAATATTAACCAAGAGTCGCCATATATTTATTAGTATTGTACAGGGTGGACCAGTTTGGTTGTTTCTATAGAGTATCTAGGAAACCGTGAGAAATATTCAAATTTTGATACTGCAGACTCGGGTTCCTTTTTTGAAAAAAATACAATGGCGCTAACGGATCGTGGCTATCTTGATCGGTTTCGAAGCTACAGGGGGATTCTCAGATTTTGTACTTTTTGAAGATGTTCGATAGTTTGTTTATTTCAGCATATACATTCTAAAGGCACTTTTCTGTGTAGAATACAGTGGCATAGTCAGACTTTTTTCAAAAAAAAATATTTTTTGAGATATTAACTATACTTCTGTTTTTTTAAATAGAACCCCTTGTATATTTTTAAATTTTCTTATTCAGCTTGGCATGGGCTTCTCGAAAATATATAACACTCTATATTTATTTTCACTATTAACCTCAACATTTCAATTTTTTCTTAAAATACCCACTTAGTAGATAGTAGGCCGCGCCGAGTAACAAAGTAAACGGTTGTCATGGTGATCGAAACATACCTTTGATGAATGCGGGATATTTTATTTCAACAGATTGAAGTGGGTGCATTTTAAATAATAAAAAAAATAGTAAATTTGAAAATTTTGAGATATACAATATGTTAGAATGTTATATTGAGTCTAACAAACATAAGCAAATGGCAGCTGATTTATATTTTGAGCGGTATCCAGAGCGCGAGCAACCAAACCCAGCCATTTTTAAAAGGTTAGAAGATAGTTTAATCAATTTTGGATGTTTTCAAAAACCGTGTCCGAAAAATTATCAGAAAGAAGATGAATAAAATCGAACAATACGAAACAAATAAAAAATAAGTCTGAGGTTACTTCAATCGAAGAAAATCACGGAAATGTATATTTTTTCACTCAGTAGTTTTATACAGGTACGGACAAAAAGTTATTACTCTTCAAAACAGTTAAAACACATGTAGGTGGCGCCCCCTACAAATAGGAGTCATTTTGACATTAAAATCAAATTTCTCATGGCAAAAAACTCCCAGACACCAATTTTCATCCAAATATTGACGTTACTTCAGAAATTATTTGGAAAAAATCGAAATAAAAATGAAACTTCTACATCCTGTATCTCCGAAACTTAGCATTTTAGGACATACATTTATACGAACTTTTTTTACTTATTTTTATCTGCAGAATGTACTGACGAAGTTCCCGGAATACAGTTCGGACCACCCTGTATGTTATTTTTTATCGAAAAAATTTTAAGACCTTAACCCCCTGTAGCCTGTAGCTACAAACAACAAAGCAGAATCGGACCTATGTTGATATAAAATAAATAAATCATACTTTTACGTGACCGGAGATAGCACATGTTTTTTGACACCCTCTGTATATCATTTTCTAGCTGTTCCATCGTATCCCGGTGCTAATGCTTGCGTTCCGTGTGCTGGTGGTGGTGGTGCTGTAAGAAGAACAGGCATACCTCTTCCAGTAGGAAGATGGGGAGCACCTAGGGCAGTGCCAGGTATGTACAGGGTGGCTCAAATTGGAAGCTTTTAAAGGGAAACACCCTTTTCTATAGGAGATAGACAAAAACTAATATCGGTGTCTGGAGCTCAATTTTTGTCGAAAACATGATGGTGAAAACCACATATCGATATATGTTACCGTTTCGGAGTTACGGGGTGTTTTTCAAAAATATGCATTTTTAACAAATCGCTGTAACTTTTTTGCTATGAAAAATTTTGTATTTCTATGAAAACATTTCCAAGGCACCTTTTTACGTAGAATTTAATGGTTTAAATATAATTTTTTTTTAAATTAATAGTTTAAGAGTTATCAATAGAAAAATTGATTTTTTATTCGGGACACCCTCTATACTTTTAATTAACTGAAAAGAATTTAAAATTACCTTTCCAAAAATATAGCACACTTGATATTTTGTTATAATCCCCTGCGAAATACAGAATTTTTAAAAGTTTGCCACTTTTAACTAGTAGGCTTTGGACCCCTTATTGATGATATGCTCTTAATGGAACTCGAAAACATATTTTTCTAGCAAGACGAGGCACCGCCTCAGAACGCTGAAGTTATCAGCAAATTTTTGCAGCCAATTTCAAGAATAATTGAATAGCTAACCAAGATCCCAGCCGTTGGCTGTCGAGGCCGCCTGACTTAGTGCCCATGGATCTAATCCTATGGATATATTTGCGGAAGAATAAAGGTTCCTTATTCTTCCGTATACTCTAGACAAGAATTAGAAATACTTAGCAGTTATGAGAGGGTATCTTTCACCCCCACTGAGTTAATGAATTCCGCGAGAAATGTTCAAAAACTGCCCCGTCTGTCCATAACGGAAGACGGTCGATATGTCGAACATCTGTAGTAAAATCTCATGTCTTGGTTTGCTATTTATTGTTATTAGATATAGTTTAAATGTGTTGATGTGGGTTAAATATATTTTAAATTGTTATAAAATTCTGCATCTCTCATAGCAAATATTACTTTCGCTTTAATTGATGCTCACAGCTAGAATTTTTTTGCATTACAGCCTGTGCCGTTCAAAGCCTACTTATTTAAAGCTGGCGAATTTTTATATACTCTATATCTCGAAAAGGAATCAAGCAAAATGCCAAGTGTGTTATATTTTTGGAAAGGTAATTTTAAATTATTTTCAATGAATCAAAAATATACAGGGTGTCCCTTATAAAAAATTGAATTTTTTGTTGATAACTCTTAAATTATTAATTTTAAAAAATATATACCTAAACCATTAAATTCTACGTAAAAAGGTGCTTTGGAAATGTTTTCAAAGAAATACAAAATTTTCCATAGCAAAAAAGTTACAGCGATTTGTTAAAAATGCACATTTTTGAAAAACACCCCGTAACTCCGAAACGGTAACAGATATCTATGTGCGGTTTTCACCATCATGTTTTTGATAAAAATTGAGCTCAGACACCGATATTAGTTTTCATCTGTTAGAAATTGAAGCCAAATTTTTGAGATGGAGCTATACAAAACCCACATAAGTCGGTCCTTTTCGTTCAACATCTTTGAACTACGCAAGCGCGTGAAGTGCTTCACGATTAGTTGATTTATTTCATACTAACCAATAGAAGTAGTAGTTTTCTAAGTTTCTATCTACCACGTAAATCAATTAAGCGTTTGACTATTCGCGCCTTTACTTATAAATTTAAATTTAATCTCTGACATATTTAAACAAAAACACGAAAGGGATAGATATGATGAATATCTAAAATAACAGGTTGCAATAATGCCAGTACCAATAAAAATATAATATACTAGCGTGTACCAGCGACTTCGTTCACGTCGAATTAATCATTTGTAATGGGATGATAAAGCAAAGCAAGAATTTCCATTGACATACAAACTGGATAAAATATTCTCACATTTATGTCAGCATGAGAAAAAACAATATGGTGATATTATTATATAACTTGGTAATATTTGAGGGGTAGTTTCATCTCGTTGGAATTTGACTTTCGAAAAATCCGTTTGCCAAAAATAATCTTTTTACGTGAAGCAGTTTAAGCAGAATCGTGGTTAAGAAATTCCCAACTTTTTGGAACACCCTGTATGATTTTTTAAAAAATTTCAAAATATGTAAAATACCCAAATAAAGTATGCTTGTTCAAGCGTTTTCCCGAAAGACTAACCGTTTTTTAAATAACAAATATTGTAATATTTGAGGGGCGTTTTCACCCTCTTGGAATTTGAGATTTGAGAAACCCCTCCTTCCTCCTTATCGAACCTCTACACCCCACAGTCAATCCGTTTGCCAAAAATCAGCTTTAAACGTCAAGCAGTTTAAGCAGAATCGTATAACTCAATGGTCATATTTTCTGAAACACCCTGTATAAATTTATAAAAAATCTTAAAACATGTAAAACAACAAAATAAAATATACGTGTTTAAGAGTTTTTTAAATAAAAAATATTTTAATATTTGAGGGATAGTTTCACCCCCTTAGAAGTCGAGTTTCGAAAAATCCCTTCTTATCGAACCTCTACACCCTAAAGTCAATCTGTTTTCCAAAAATCAGCTTTTTATGTCAAGCGCTTTAAGCAGGATCGTGCCTAATCAATGACCAGATTTTTCGAAACACCCTGTATACATTTTTAAAAAATCTTAAAATACGTAAAAAAACGAAATAAAATATACGTGTTTAAGCGTTTTTTCGGAAACTTGACCGTTTTTTAAATAAAAAATATTGTAATATTTGAGGGGTGGTTTCACCCTCTTGGAACTGGAATTTCGAAAAATCCCTTCTTATCGAACCTCTACACCCTAGAATCAACCTGTATGCCAAAATTGAGCTTCTTACGTTGAGTGGTTCGATCAGGATCGTGATTAATCAGTATGTCAGTCACTTAAGGATTTTATATGTACAACTTAACAAGTATAGCTAGAGACGTGAGAAATATAAATTAAAGACGCCCCTCGATGCGCAGTGGACAGCACAAAAATTTGCTTTAATCAGATTTGTCGTAGCGTAACTGCATCTCTCTTCCGCCGAATGCGTTCTCTCTCTATCGTGTGCGCGACCGGTGCTATCCCCAAGTCTCTTCCTATATTTGTCAAACTGTACATACATATATTATAAGACTATAGATTATACGTTATTAATATTTAGAGTTTAAAATAGTGCGCGGGCAGGTGATAGCGTTCAGCGATGAAGTAGAGGAATCAGATCGTTTTATTTGATGCGTGCGCACGAAAATCCTGTGGAACGAAAAGGATAGACTTATGCAAGATTGATATTCCTGTTTCTTTTCTTTGGCTTCACTTTCCCCTCATTGTGTAAATGCGGTACTAGCAATATATTCCTATAATATATTTGGACGTACCCTAATACTGAATCAATAATTGCTTTTGACGTTTGCAGGACCGTCGGGTTTGAACCGCGTAAACTGGGCTCAAGGGGAGACTCAACCTAGGGATCCATCCGGACATGCGGTACCTTCTCCCGAAGCGGACGATAGGGAGATGATGTCGTACCTTAACGTGAGCGAGCAGTCGTACCTGATGGGGTTCCATCCTGTCATATCCAGTACTCAGGACTCGGACGCTTTTAGAACTTGGGACGAAAGCGATTTCACGCCATCGGACGAGTCCGATCGAATATTCGTTGACTATTCGCTGCACAAATCTCAGGAAGACAGGTATAGACTTGTAGTACAGATTAGGTATACTATATGTATACAGGTAAAAATCTTATCCCTAATTCGTGGTACGAAAATTGTTTTTTATGACGATGTGCAAACGAGTAAAATTTCCGGTGCGCAAAAATAAACTCGCGTAAAATAACAATAAACAGTGCAATAGAGAGATATCGCTAAACCGAATAGCGTACATGGACGTTAATAAGGCCAGGTGTTATTTCCTTTACGTGAGGTGGTATTAACTCTCTTCATTTATAGTTATCGGATCGGAAAGAATTCTGTTCGCGTCGCGTCTGCTATTTAAACTTAACCTAACTTTGAATTTAAAACTTTGAAATTGTTTTGTTTACTAGGTGTTTTAAAACTAAAGGGCTAAATTACTTATTTCCAGTGCTTTATTGTTCAACGTCTGCCAGTGGGTTTAGGGCAACAAGCAACAAATTCTCTTAGAAGGGCTAAGTCGTCATCTGCTGTAAACCTAAGCCTCTTTATACGTTCTTTAATATTGGAAGAGGTGAAATCCATATTTTGGGCCATATTTATTTAATTAAAACTAATCCCAGCTACTTAAATATCAAATTATCTAATAGAACTAAAGTAATAATTCAAAACAATTCAAACATAACCTAAAATAAAAGATCTCGCCGGCTGGCCCCGGTTGTCAAATACCCGCATATGCCCATTTTAAGCAATTTTTAAACGTTATTTAGAAATATCGCTTGGTGTAATTGATCCGCAAATTACGTCAGGCGGTATATGTTATTAGCGGGTGTTGCGTCAAAAATTGACTCGCGCATATCGCAACCATGATAAGGTACGCGTAAATACTGCATGACGCTATTCGGTTTTCCGATATCTCTCTAATAATTGTGCCGGTCAGGCGCTGTGCACAATTTTAGAGGCCATAAGTGGGCGTGCTATGTGCGCAAACTAGTAATCTAACTAGTGCCCGATTCCGAAAATTGGAACCACGAAAAATAATAAAGAAAAAACAAAGTTTATAATCTGTATAATCTGTGCTTGTAGTCTAAAACAGCCTCTACACTACGCGGAGAACTCTATTTATTTCCACTTGTTTTGACCCACTTCGATTTGCCTCGACCTATTTTCGATTCTCGACTTGCTGCGCAACAAAATTTGATCGTATTTTCAAACTTCAAAAGAGAGCAGTTCGATATTTATTGCGACTAAACGGTAGAACTCACTGCCAGAATTTCAAAATACTGACTCTTCCTTCCTTATTCATTTTTGAATCCGTTTGCTTAATCCGCAAGCACATATCTGCTATTCCCGAAAGCCCATCTCACAACCATAAAATAATTAACTAGAAAGAAGTGTCAACTCTGTGTTAAATCGTGGAAACACGATACGCCACCGAAAGCCTTCGTTGTCGTCTGGAGAACTAATTTTCCAATTGACAGGTTAACATGATGGCTTCATTTTTATTTCCGTTTCCGGTTATTCAATGGCGGGTCCTCTTTCAGTTTAAATGTATTTTTGTACTCTTTCTTATCGTAAATAAAACAAAACAAAATTTTATTCAAATACATTTATTTGAAATATGAGACAACGTGACTAAATAAATATAAAAAATAAAGAATTGAATGATTTCTACGGCAATTACTTAATTATATGCAATTTTAACGTAAATTAGTAAGGTATAAGCATGACTTACAGTAATTTGTAAATAAATACACGTATTCACAGCCATCAGGGACAGAAAACGGGGGCAGGAACATGAAAACGGGAGCCTTATACAAAAACCTGAAAAAAGAAAAACATTTTTTTTATACTAAAATTAACAATGTAAAAATATCAATATTGTTATTTGTAAAACTACATTGTTGCCGCAGCGCCGATTCCCTATTCCCTTCTTTGTCCATTCTCTTTCGCACTCGTTGATTTTCGCAAACCAATGTATGATGAAGTTTTAGAGCGTTTTATGAATGGATCGTTGTATCTCCCGAGTTTAAATATCTTTGGTGTAGAGGCTGGTTATGATCAAGTTGCAGGATTACTACGCTCATCATGTATAGTTAATGAAAGTTTAATTTTTTCATGTATTTATGATTGGAGGAATACAATTTGGGACACTATAATGCTTTTGAACTTCAATAGAGTCTATTTTTTGTAGGTACAATATTATCAGAGGTTTGACACCGCCACAATGTACTCCTTGTCCAAATGATCAAGCTGGTACTAGCGCAGCCTTACACGGTCCTTACCGTCCTGGAGTTTTCAGTCCCGCTCTTGCTACCTTTGGCTCAGGTAAGGACGTGTAAAAATATCGATTTTTTTAAATATCGATAATTCAAGAATCAATCGATTTTACCGCTTCTTAATATTAATTTTATGTTACTTCTTACTTCTTAAAACCCCTTCGTGATCACGACAAGTTTGTTGACATACTCGTTTCTTTATCAATGAAAATATTACGCGGCATTGTGCTTGTCAAAAAACATCTATTCTTTTCTAAAAGTGGACATTACTATTCGTAGGTGCCGGAGGACGTCCAAACGCAACCTTTAACGCTGGAGCTGGAGCTGGAGGACATTTAGACGGGACCTTCAACGTTGGAGCTGGAGGTGGAGGACGGTTAGAGGGAACCTACACTGCTGGAGGAGGAGCTGGAGCTGGAGCACATCCAGACGGAACCTATACCGCTGCAGCCGCAGGACGGTTAGAAGGAACCTATACCGCCGCAGCTGGAGGACATCCAAACGCAACCTATATTACCGCAGCTGGAGGACATCCAAACGCAACCTATACAGCTCCAGCTGGAGGACATCCAAACGCAACCTATACCGCCGCAGCTGGAGGACATCCAAACGCAACCTATACCGCCGCAGCTGGAGGACATCCAAACGCAACCTATACCGCTGCAGCTGGAGGACATCCAAACGCAACCTATACCGCTGCAGCTGGAGGACATCCAAACGCAACCTATACCGCTGCAGCTGGAGGACATCCAAACGCAACCTATATCGCTGCAGCTGGAGGACATCCAAACGCAACCTATACCGCTGCAGCTAGAGGACGTCCAGACGCAACCTATACCGCTGGAGTCTGCGACGCGGACTGTTCAGGCGGTACAGCAGGTGGTGGAGCTGGAGGACGTTTAGACGGTACCTACACGGCTCGTCCCTCGATGAGGACTCCTCCAAATTTCCTGGACTACCCTCCGTTCGACACGGCAGTGGCTAGAATGTACCCGGATAGACACATGGACTCGTGGGAGATGATGGGACTCACGCCTCCAGGTTATTTTAATCTTCTACATTAAACGTTAACAAACATGTATAATGTGTGTGTAGATCTTAGATCTTATAAACGTCGTGGATACAGCCATTGCCATTTGTATATTACACACAACTTTCTTTATGGGACCTTCACATGCATTTTTCTATCTATTTCTTTCTAGAACAAGATTATCGTATAAATCTACCCTTCCCTCTGAATATACTACTGAGCATGCGCAGAACGATATTAGACGTGAGTGCTAACTTGGAGCGTTTTTTCGCTGCGTTGACAACAATTACTAAAAATATAGACCACTAAAAAATTTTAATCAAGATATAATTGATACATGTATTTATTATTTTGAAAATATTTGTCATATTATTTCAATATACTTCTTATATAAATTTTAAACAAAAATTGAACTACTTTAAAAAATAGCTATGACAATTTGAAATTGGTGCGCGATGTTTGCCGACCCATGGTGCCGTTTATCACCTGTGACGTAGTGACCAACTTGCGCAATATCATACCTTGTATTCTAAATATTGACTCAAAACTGACAACTAAAGAGACAGCTTTATTTATTTGTTATAATCAGAGAGTCGAATATCGCTGACGTGTCTTCAACAAAAATGAAGCGAATTTCCTTATCCACGAAGTTTATAAGATCTAAGATTCTATCGCAGATCGATACTAAAACAGATTATTTTTATTTTTCTAGGACCGGATACGCCGCGAGGCAACAAAACCCATCCTCCACGCTACGCCAGAAAACTCGATTTCTCCGACACTCAGGACTCTCCCCCGCGACCGTTCTCCCCTAGCCCGCATCCCTCCAACTTCAACGTGAACAGAACCTGTCCAGGAGCGGGCACCGCCTCCAGCGACCAAGACAGCAGCGTGGACTGGTTCAGGCCCTACATGACCAGCACGAACCAGGCCACCGGTCGTACAGGAGCTCGCAGGGAGATCTTCGACAGCATCAGGGTGGGAAGGTCTCCAGGACCAAGCGGAGTGTCCAGGTCCAGTCCCCAAGACGTCTCGTACGACTGGAGCAGCGAGTCCGATCCGATCTTTGGACCCCAGAGGTCGATACCCAGGTCTCCTTCTCCGGGACCTAGACAAGATGTTCCTGGAAGACGATTGAACTTCACCAGCGATTCTTCAGGAGCCGGAGCAGGAGCCTGCGTTGGAGGTATATGTGCAGAAGAAAGCTTGCCTTCGATGTTCCAACCTAGGGCGACTAGCACGAGGCTTAGGGAGCAGAGATCTCCTTCGCCTAGACCTAGACGTGAAGCCAGGGGGGGAGGATGTGGACGTGGATGTTCAGGGGTTGCTGCTGGAGGAAGACCGAGAACTTCAGGTGCTGGAGCTCGTGCTGGACGAAGAGGAGGATGTGGAGGTGGATGTGCAGGGGTTTCAGATAGCCCTCCTTCCTTCTTTCAACCTGGAGCAGCTAGCACGAGGCTAAGGTCGTACGATTCTAACAGCGCGAGATCTAGGCGTGAAGGTTCTTCTGCTGGTTACGAAGCTGACGAATCGTCGTGTTTTTGCAACTGAAACATGCGAATGGATTTCGCCTAGTAAAAGAATGGGGGTTTCAGCAATAAGTGTCTGTGATGATAAATGCCAAAGATATTCAATATGTAACAAAAAGATAAATAAATGATATGATATATATGATGATTGTTTCTTACTTAATTTTTAATGATAGAACCTGCCAGCTATAGCGTTGCTATTTTATGTTTAATATATACAAAATACCGGGTGTGTCTTACAAGTGCCTCAACCCTATAACTTTGTTATTTGTTCAATAAATAAACGAGATTTAGTATATTAGTATATGACATAAATTAAGATTGATTGGCATATTCAATTGTTTTCGATCACTTCCTGTTTCACCGGAAGTGACTACAACTTTTGATTTTTAAATAGCACCCGCGGTATTTTTAGATAGAAAATGACACTCTCAATAGAATGACATAGCATATGTCAATTTTTGACATTTTCGCTTAAAAGAAAATCGTATTTTTTGGATTTGCATCAAGAGTGCCATGGAGGACGTTTAGATGGAACCTATACCGCTGCTGCTGGAGGACGTCCAGACGGAACCTATACCTCTGCAGCTGGAGGACCTTTAGATGGAACCTATACCGCTGCAGCTGGAGGACGTTTAGACGGAACCTATACCGCTTCAGCTGGAGGACATCCAAACAAAACCTATACCGCTGCAGCTGGAAGACATCCAAAGGTAACCTATACCGCTGCAGCTGGAGGACGTCCAGACGCAACCTATACCGCTGCAGCTGGGGGATATCCAAACGTAACCTATATCGCTGCAGCTGGAGGACGGCCAAACGCAACTTGCAACCGCTGGAGTCTGCGACGCTGACTGTTCAGGCGGCACCTACACCGCTACAGCAGGAGGCGGAGCTGGAGGACCTTTGGACGGTACCTACACTGCTCATCCCTCGATCAGGACGCCTCCAAATTACAGTACGTCTGCTGGATCTGTGTCTATGAAAGGAATGCGGACAAAAAACATTTAAATAAAGAGCAATATATTTTATACGTCGACATGACGAGTACGTCACCGCAAATCGCTCCGCCCACTCATTTTATTGGCTACTTACAAATTTGTCGAATTTTTATTGATGAGACGCGTCCGTCGTCTAATTTTTTACGAAAAACATCGAGAGAATATCGTTTCCCATCTCACGGATACCCCGTAGCTACAGAACGGACAGACGTACTGTACCTTTTTGTTAAAAACAATAATTTTTAATCAAGGAGCCTTGGAAAGATAGATTTGAGCGTCTAATGTTTTCCGTATCTTGTCCTGGCCAGTTAAAAGATGCAGTTGAAAGGTAGTATTGACAAAACTTAAAATTTCCGACCTACAATAAATAAAGTACCAGAAAATCCGTCAAAAGCTTGTCAAAAAATGTTAAATTCATAAGTCACTCACAAATTTCGAAATTTCAGAGAAATAAATTTTAGATTTTTTTTTCTCAAAATTTTAGTGTAAAGTTTTCCTTAATTTTTCAAAGAAAACCTCAAAATGGGTGACTGTGGCTGTGCACCGTAAGTAACTAGATATTTTCTAAGCATTTTATAGCAACTATTTATAATAACTAAGTATTTTTTAGAAAAAAATTATTTCGGAAGTAGTTTCTGTTATCATAGCTTGTTTACTAACGTAGGAATGCCATTCCTAACTTAGGAATGATATCCCTAACTTAGGATTATACACCACATAAAGATTATTAATAAAAATATAAAATTTCTATTTTATATTAAACTTGATTAAGATTTTTGCAAGTTTATTATAAATCTTCTGTGGCTATGTACAGGATGAGTCAACGATAGAGTAAAGTCCATCATCTCATTTGTTTCCAGGTTTACAAAAAATGTTAAATATAAAAGTTATAGGGAAGATTAAGATACACATTTTTAAATTATTATAAAGTATACAGGGTGCTTCTTCTTTAATTATTTCTGAAATACTCTGAGGTTTTAATGACTGTTTTAGCGGAGGACAAAGACAATCCAGAAGGCATCATCATAGAAGATCAAGAGGTCATCACCAAAGACCTCCAGTGCCATATGACAGGCCGATGGTGTAAGAAATCAAAATATCTGAATTTTAAACCGTTTCTCAATGCTTTTTGGGGATGTTTTAGATCCAGACCTACTGCTCCCCCCTCTAGAATACCCCCTTGGAACTGTGGTCCAGGTTTAGCAAGACAAAGAGAAGCCAAGTAAGAATCTTATCTAGTAGTTTTATTAGCCTATGTGGTGTTTATTGATAGTGCATCCTCACTTAAATTTTGAGTTTTTTAAAATAGACTCGATATTTTTCATGAAGTATAGACAATATAATGCAGGTCCCAGAGCGGCAGCCGGAGGAACTGCCCAAAGAGCACGTCTAGACGAAACCTACAACGTTGGAGCTAGAGGGGGACCTGGA